TGTGTGTGTGTGTGTGTGTGTGTGTGTGTGTGTATGTGTGTGTGTGGTTTAGTAAAACTGTGATCACCTCATTGTGTTTTTCGCTTCTGTGAGTCCATACAAACTATGCACGTCATAATGAGAATGGTCGTGATGTTTTGCTGACATACAGAGGGTCTTGCCTCTGAGAGTGCCTCCTAACACGTGAGGCACATAGGGTGGATTATCCAGGGAAGTGTCTGGACATCCCTTAGATGAACCATCAACGAAATTTGATGGCTCATTCATATCGATCCAAAGTCCGTCAAATTCTACGAGTTCCCTGAAGTCGGCCAACATCTGATCCCAGTAGGCCTGCGTTACTGAGTAAGTGAAGTCTGGAAAGACAGTTTGGCCCGGCCACACCTGTTTGGAATATTATGTACAAAATGTAAATCTACAACCGTTCTATCACAAATGCTGCAATTTGTTTAGCTACGCCACTCGCTATCTAAACCGTGATATTCCATGAGGTAGCTTGAGTAGCCTGACAGGAGTGCTAACAGTGTGCGGTTACAAACAAAATAAAAATAAAATGTGAGCCTGTCTTGTTGAGTAGTTTGGAGCTAGTAGAGAAAAACACTTTAACTATTCTCTTACTATTTCTATGCATGACAGTTGGTTGAAGGGTTCAACCTCATCAATTATCAAGCGATTGAAATCCCGAGCTCACAAAACAATTGTGAAATTGTCGACAATGGTGACGAGTTATTGTCGTTTGTCTCACATAGCAGACTTCTTTTCCTAAAAAATCCTTCGATTTCAAACCTTGCCAATCATAGGTTCGCCACTGGATGAGTTGACAAACACGCCCATGCTGAGTCCAATGTCATAAGGTCGATACTGGCCTGCGGGTTGTTCACAACTTATACCTGGATCCTGGAAAGTAAATTTAAAAGAAATATTGACATACCGCGAGAACTTCCACCTGTTTTGGGAAAACTGCCTCAAGGTTTCCCTCAAGAAATTGATAAGGATGCTTGAGAATACTCTTTTAGCGGGGTGTGTGTGTGTGTG